ACTGGAGGAGGCTTTCAAAGACATGGAGGAAATAAGAATACGAGCTGCAGCGAGGAGCCCTTGACCACTCAGCCCCTCCTTGCAAGGCCAGCCCCAGAACAAATAACGCTCTTCCAGCAGTGCAGTGAGCCGGGCATGTGCTTTGACTCCTGCCTCTGAGCCGTTTCTTTTGGCCGTGTTACAGAAAGTGTTCACGTATGAACGTTCATTTGCAGGTTAGTTAATTTGAATATTATTAGGTTGCTGAGCAGGACACTCAAAATGCAAGTATTTTGTTACCTCCCATGACCTGGATACAGCCAGCCGTTCCTTTCCTCCACCTGCTTCCCTCCCTCGGCAGGGGCCGTCACCTCCCTTACACCGAGTCGGATGGAAATATTCCGGCCTACTAATGATCCAAAAACACCACGAGTTGAGTTCTCTTACGGTGATTTCGCCTTTCCAGGATACAGTAAAGAATGGCTTTTTTTCTTTCTTTTCCCCATCAGAGTCTTCTGTGCAGATGTTTTTTGTTTTCTCGGGCATGTGGTTCTTTTCGTTTTGTGAACAAAATTGCATCCAAGAACTTTCAGATTTAAAGAGATGTATGAGTTGTTTGTTGCAAAAATAATGTTCATGAGATGCGTAGCGTTTGGGAAATACAGGGTAAAAGCACAATGGAGTAATCAACTGCGTATGAGTGTGTATGTTAAATGTACAATCCACCACCAACAGTTTTTAACGTGACTATTTTCATGTACTCACACCTACGCGCCTGTGTTTGCTTTCAGATTTTTCTTTTTAACCGAAAGTTTTGAAAATACAAATTGATATTTCTAGTGATTTGAGCCATACTCCGGAGGCGTTAGTTGGAGAGAAGGCTGGAAACGGTCTTACTGTGAGACCATGAAGGCTTCAAATGCCGAGCACAGCGTAGCTGATGATTTTTCACCGGGAAAGTTCTAGAATTAATGCTGCATTTGGGAAGATGAATCCAGCAGTAGTGGGTAGAACGAATGAAAAGGGAAATGGATTAAGTTTATGAAGTCTTATCTGGTTCTGTCAGGTTGCAGTTATTCAGAAGCTCTTAGTCTGTGGACTTTCCTTACTATTTCACTTGACCATCTCTAACACCTTACCGGTGGAGTATAACATCGATGAGAATTTTCAAGCTACCGCTTCATGGCCAACAAAAGTCATCTATCTTTACGTCTCTCTTCTGGCTGCCCGACCCAAATACTATTTTGCTTGGACATTAGGTAAGTGACACGTGGTAGACCTCACCGTTCATGTGCTGAAGTGTATCTTACCCAGTGGCTAGCCAGCAGAGTGCCCTCTTGAGGAGATGCAGTTAAAGACCAATTAGGAACATTAGTCATCTATTAGAAGACACAAACCTTGCAGCTCGTATCCTAAATACAAGGATATATCCTACAAACTGTTAGAATGGCCTAAAAACTGGCTCAAGGCCCATTTTATTATAATATCAGATAAAAATGAGGATAAATCTACTTTTACTTTTAAGAATAAAAGATCCTAGTATGTGATAAACATGTACCTTCTGAGAGAACGTGGTAGATTGTTACATAGGTTTTTCATACCTTCTTTTTCACTTTGTTTATTGCAGCGGATGCTATTAATAATGCTGCGGGCTTTGGTTTCAGAGGATATGATGAAAATGGAACGGCTCGTTGGGACTTAATTTCCAACTTGAGAATTCAGCAAATAGAGGTTAGTAAATCATTAACAAGTCAGTTACCCTATGATACTTTACGTACCCCACTTTGCTTTTACAGGTCATGACGCGATGTCCCAAGAGTGATGTTGAAGGCTTTTTAACAATAATAACTTATTTTTCCATTCAACCAATATTTGTGGGTTGTCAATCATGTGCCCCAGGCCCTGGGGATCTAGCGGGTAAGATTGGTGTGACCTGGGCCCTTTGATCGTGGGGCTTTAATCTAGTGGGTGCTACAGAAGGGTAGATTGGGGTCAGAGGGATATAGGGTATGTGGGGGCTACAAGATAAGGTCCAACTCAGATGAGGTAGCTCAGGGAGGGGTCCTGAAGGAAATAGTCTTAAGCTGAGTCCTAAATGATAAATAAGGAGGAGGTTGCCAGGCACTCCAAGTAGAGGGTGATCAACCTGAGAAAGGATTTGTGGCTCATGTTGGGTCATAACAGAGGGAGTGGTGACTGGAGACTGGAGACACAGAAGCCAAGCCGAGATACTTTCAGAGGCCGTATTAAGAGTTTTGAGCTCTCCTAAGAGCGATGGAGTGTGGTGGATGGGTTTTATGCAAGTGAGGTGGTCACAGCTGTGGTTTAGAAGGGTCTGGCTATGTTAGGTAGAATGAGTTGCCCTCGTGGAACAGAGTGGTCTGTTAGGAGGGTGTTGTGTTAATCCAAGGTGATGGTGACCTAGAGTAGGGACAGTGGGACCGGAAAGACATAAGCACCTTGGAGCACTGAGATTCAGCAGAACCCGGTGATGTGCTGGCATCAGCAAGAGAGAATGAGTTATAAATTGGGACCAGATATCTGGCTTAAACCAGTTTTATGGCGATGCCTTTCCCTGGGAGAAGGAACAAAGAACAGGTACAGGTTTGAAGGGGAAGAGACTGTGTGTTCAGATTTCAGACTTAACTAAGTTGTCCGGCAGACAAACCAATGATCAGACACTAGCTGCAACATCTGAGCTGGAGATCCTAATTGGGGAACTAGAAGCGTGTAGCATTTCAGGTTTTGGGAGGAAACCACGAGAGTAGCCATGAGAGAGCAGCGAGAGACCGAGAAGGGATGTGAACCCCCAAGGAGCACCTGTGCCCTTGGCTGGGCAGAGGAAGGCAGGTCAGGAGAAGGAGCCAGAGAAAGGAGAGGAAAAGCAAAAGTAGACGTTGCTTTGCAAGCCTGAGAGAATTATTCCAGCAGTGGCAATTACCAAAACCTAAGGTGAAAAGTTGACCGACAACTTGATAATGAATGGGTCAGGCTGGACCTGCCGCTGAGCCTTACCGTCACTGAACGTTCTTCACGAAAAGTGGGACAGTCAGTCATGAAGCGCCTGTGGAGGTGATGCCATAGGAAACACAGCACCGTCTTTCAAGTACTTTGCCAATACAGTTCAACGTGGTTAGGTCTCTAGATCTTTCTAAATGTAGAGGGAGTGTGCAGTATAGAGAAGTAAGTTAAACGCTGGATCCAGAAGCGGGAAATCTACAGGACAAAGGACCCAATTTCCCCCCACAAGTAAATGCCACAGAAGAGTGGGGGGCAGGGAGGGGCCGCTACAGATTCAGAGAGCAGAGCCAAACACATCATTGCACACTTGTTTGCACCCTCTGAAAAGACCAACTGGAAAACCATGTTTTTAAACAGTCGGGATATTTGGCCACAAAATGAGCGTTAAATGATATTAAGGAGTTAATACTTAGTTTTGTTAGGTCCGATCTTGGTTTTTTGAGAGTCCAGTAAATTCTGAACTATGTACAGGTGAAATAAGATGTCTGATACTTGCCTTGAAATTTTCCTACGATGTCAGTAATGAAAATGGGGAAGGGGAAGGAAAAGCGTAAAGTGTGGAAATTGAGTGATGAATGTATGTATGGCAGTGTTTCTAACTTTGTGTTCATTATCGCCACCCTGAGGAGGTTTTGAGACATGTGTCACCTCATCAACCCCCCCCCCCCCCGTGAACTTTAATACTGCATACACGTATGTCCGTTTATACATCATGTATATACACATATGCTTTTATACATAAAACGAGTAAGCCTTTTTTGCCCCCAAGAACCAGTTTTCATCCTCTTGGGGGCAATATCGCCCTTGGTGAGAATGCATGGTCTAAGAAAAAGTAAAGAAGGGGCCGCCTGGATGGCTCAGTCGGTTAAGCATCCGACTTAGGCTCAGGTCGTGACCTTGCGGTTCTTGAGTTCAGAGCCCCACATCGGGCTCTCTGCTGTCAGCGCAAAGTCCACCTCAGATCCTCTCTCTCCCTCTCTCTGCCCCTCCCTTGTGTGTGCTCTCTCTCTCTCTCTTTCTCTCAGAAATAAATAAACATTAAAAAAAATTTTTTTAGAGAAAAAATAACGAAGAAGGAGCTAGTTTCCTGAAGGAGGGGAGGGTGATCAGGGTTGGATGCGACTGAGATACGGGCAGTAAGAGCAGGACTCAAATGCCAGCAGCTGTAACACCTGGGGGTTGAGTGATGATTTTGGTAACGGTTTCATGGGAGGGATAAGCTATAGAAGCCAGATGATACAACTCTTAGGCATTTATTACCTGTACAAGGAAGGAGGGTAGAGATAAGGCCATAGCTGAGGGGAACAGGTGAAGGCGAGAGTTTTGTTTAATTTTGTTTTAAAACGGAGAGATTGAGGGGTGCCTGGGTGGCTTAGTCAGTTAAGTGTCTTGACTCTTGGTTTTGGCTCAGGTCCTGATCCTATGGTTCATGGGATCAAGCCCTGCGTTGGGCTCCAGGCTGAGTGTGGAGCCTGCTTGGGATTTTCTCTGTCTCTTTCTGCCCCTCCCATGCTCGCATGTGGGCTTGTGTGCACGTGCATGTGCACTCTCTCAAATAAAAAAAAAAAAAAGTATGGATTTAAGACAAGTCTCAAGTGTTATATGATATTCTGCACTTGGATTCAGAGGTTATAAGTAGAGAAGACGGAAAGTACGGTTGATCTGGGACTCGGAGTTTGATAAGCAGATGAATTAAAAGGAAGAAGAAACAAACGCATCAAGAATTTTGATGAGCGTAATAAATACTGCACCAGTCTAAATGGTGAGAAGGAAGTGAAGACATAGGAGGAGACACTTGCTTAGGGGAGAAGTAGAGATGGGAGACCAGACCTCCTTCTGAGGTCAAGGGGGAAGCTTTTATTGGGAGAGGCTCGAGTGGAGAGGCTGGGAACGTGGATAGATGGCAGTAGTTCGGGTGAGGCCAAGGTTCCGAGCAGCCACAAATGGTGGCTGAAGAGGCGTGGGGGTGACGGAATGGAGAGGCTGTGGCTCGATGGGACGTCCAGTCCCCAGTGAAAGCGTCATGGAAGGGTCATGGAAAGGTCATTTACGTATCAGGAATGTCTTTGGGATAATTCCATGACAACGCCTGTAAATGTTAACATATAGGAGGAAATGGGGATCATCTCGTAGATGTCCTCTCTGAGAAGCAAGTTTTATTTATACAAGCACATTACTGTATTAGAAAAGCAAATATTAAGGAAATAAATCAGTATACCGTCAGCATCAAGTACTTGACTTTTAGCACAACAACATGGTATTGCTTGTATCTAAACCTTCATTATTTTGTTGGCCAAAGAAAAAGGTTCTTTTGTTTTTCAGATGTCAACAAGTTTCAAGATGTTTCTTGATAATTGGAATATTCAGACAGCTCTTTGGCTCAAAAGGTATGTTCCTTCAAGAACAGTCTTTAGCTGTGCTATGGTGTCTAATACTTGAGGTTGAGTTTCACTGAGTTCAGATTCTTGATTCAATAACAGTGTGTTGAGTGACACTGACCTTGGTGTTAACCAGGAAATACTGTTAATGTCTTCCAACGCAAGAGTCTATCGAATCTGAGAACTGTGTTGGCCTGAGTGGTCAATGTTTCTATCCCGGGCTTCTCAGTCCGCCTTCCCAGGCATCTTTCTGAGATCGCCAGTGTCCTCCTACTCTCATTGGTTGGAGATTTGGTTAAATAAAACAGAGTAACTGTACGACCACTGTCCAGATGCCCTAGATTGTCCACAGCAGTTCCAGTTGCAAACATATTTCAGTTTGACAGATCTTTCTGTATGTTAGGCACAGGATACAACGATGAGTAAGACAGAAAGACCCAACCTCTGCAGTCAAAGAATTCACGATCTTGTTAAAAACACAGCAGCGTCACCTGCGCGTTCCCTGTAGCCCTGTAGCGAGGAAGAGCGGAGAGAGAGAGCAGGAGCAGCGAGGCACAGGGGGAGAAGAAGTGCTGGTGCCAGGATCCGTGACGAGGAATTCGTCACACGGCCGAGGGGGAGCCACAGGCAGCCCGAGTGGGGCAACATTTGTAAAAGATGAAGTTAGGGAGTTGTACAGAAACTCCCAGGGACTCTGTCTCCTTGTTCCCAGTGAGATACATTGCTGTATCTCGAGTTTATTTTATGAAACGTTATGGCTCTAAGCACTGTGTAAAGCAGCCTTTTTTGGGAGTGTCCTTTATTTCATGGCAAGTTGCATATCTTTCTGCCTTGAGATACCCACCATATGACATTGTCGCTTTGTGGTACATTGCAGTCTCCCCAGTGGCTACATATTTTCTGAACTAATCTGTGTGTGGTTGTTGTTGTTGTATTTTATTTTATTATTTTTTAAAATGTTTATTTCTTTATTTTTGAGAGAGAGAAACAGAGCATTAAGTGGGGGAGGGGCAGAGAGGGAGCCCAGAATCTGAAACAGGCTCCTGGCTCAGAGCTGTCAGCACAGAGTCTGATGCGGGGCTTGAACCACAAACCATGAGATCATGACGAAGTTGGAGGCTTAACTGACTGAGCCACCCAGGCACCCCTTTGTTGTATTTTAAATTTGATAACTTTTGGGGGCACCTGGCTTGCTCAGTCAATGGAGCATGTGACTCTTGATCTCACGGTCGTGAGTTCAAGCCCCGCATTGGGAGTAGAGATTACTTACTTACTAAATAAATAAATAAATAAATAAATAAATAAATAAGACACCTTTAGAAAGTCTTACTTTCATTTGAGTTCTCTACCATGTTACAGGGAAATTTTAGACTAAGCACATTGAAGTTTTTTGGTAAATAGTATAGATTTCTTTACATGTACCATAAAAAGATGAAAATCAAATTTGTTTTCCTAGATCAATAGGAATATCTAATAGCCTTCACCTCCCTGAGGTCACAGGTCAAGTTGTGGCCGACGACGCTAAGTTGCGGTTGTTTTCCTGGTTGCCCCGGGCCATGTCGGCTGAGAAAAGAATGATCGCTGTGGGCTGTGTGAACTCTAACCACTCAGTGTGGTGTTCATGGTTTCCAGGGTGTGTTACGAACGAGCCTCCTTGAGTCCAACCATCCAGACGTTCGTTCTGTCCGCCATCTGGCACGGGGTTTACCCGGGGTATTACCTGACGTTTCTCACGGGAGTGGTGATGACACTGGCAGCACGAGCCGTGAGTATCTAGAACCCCACGTCGTCCTCGAGGGGGAGTCCACGTGAGTGGGAGGAGGAGGCCGAGCTCACCCTCTCCCCTAAGGCCTCATTCGTGTGGCCGCAGATGGAGCCGTGCTCTGGTTAGAAGCGAGGGGGGCGCCTGGCGTGTTTGTCCAGCGCTCCTGCGGGAGGGACCTGCACAGCGTTGGTTGTCTTTACGCGGTTTTCTGAACGAGAGCTAAAACCTGTGTTAAATAAAGATGGGTTCATTTCACAAACGTTTCCCGAGAGCTGTCCCCGATGAATCCTCCTTTAGGTGAGGAGGGGAGCAGGAAGACCATGGACAGAGCCGGTGGGCCATCCCCGGGTGGCAGGTGCCAACGTTAGAGACAGGACACAGTTCTTTAGAGTGTTGGCTTGGTTGGAACCTGGAGTCGTACTTCGGGAAACAGTTGAGAAATCAGGTTGGTGACATGGGTGGGCAAGGAAGGACAGTTCAGTGTGAGTCCTTGAAAGTGACGTGACCAAAACAGTGCTCGAACAGGCTTCTCCCAGCACGTACAGGTGAGGAGGCCTCATTTAACAAACTAGCAGAGATTTAGTCAGTTTTCAGGTCAATTTTCAGGTGGGGGTACATATGTGCACATGTACAGCACGAGGCATATATGATAGATCCCGTGGGCTTTATAGATAGTAAGTAACATAGTTGTTTAGAGGTGAAAGAAATCCCCTTTGGCTGGGTTGACCAGAGGTGGCCTCATTAGGGAAGCGTGGTTGGATTAGGGCTTTGGAAGATGAAGGTCGTTTTAAAAGTGAGCCAAGTTTGGTGGGGGTAGAACATGACACGGTTGGCCAGGAGACGACATTCTCGAAACCAAGTTTGGAAGTGCCAGTGTGTTTGGAAACGAAAAGTAAATCTGGTTGAAGCAGAGACTTTGTGAATCCCTAAACGGTGGATAATTCTGGAAGGGGGAAGGAGTGCAGGGGGCGGAGGGAGGAGGGCATAATAGAAGGACTTGACAGACGAGGAGAGGGCCCAGCCCTCATGCCGCCTGCAGCCCGGGGAGTCCGGGAAGGTCTTCAAGGAGGGAGATGACCAGTGGAAAGCCGTGCTTCAGGAGAGTGGATTTGCCCCTGGTGGTCGGGGGCGGGGAGGGTGGGTAGGTGCTGCACGGGGAACCAGGCAACATGGTCGGTGTCGGGGCTCGTTCTGGCCACTACGAATGATGGTCTCGCTGTAGGGAGAGCCGTTAACCACACACCAGGTCACTTCTGAGAAACTCGGTGGTATCCTCACGGGGCCGTGTTTCACCTCTGAACATATTAGACAAGAAAAGCAGGGAAGATGATCGTAGAAAAGAGGAAATGATGTTTGGTTAAGTTTGCACATTTCAAAACTGAAATGTTTTGACTTTTTTGGAAGCTAAAAAAAATGTTTGAATAGTGGTTATTAGGAAACACCTATTTTGAGAATGTGTGTCGTTGCCATTTATTCTAAGTGTGTTTGGCCTGAGCTCAGTGTATGATCTTCACTTGTATTTCACAAACCCAGGGCTTCAAGAAGAGGAAGGATGTCTCATTAAGTCATAGTAGAAAACATTGAAAACAGACAGAACTTTATTTATATACTATACCAAATATGATTTAAAGAGCTCTAGGCAGTGTTATTTTTAACTTTGGGGGAAATTAAAAAAAAATTTTTTTTTTAACGTTTATTCATTTCATCTTTTTGAGAGACAGAGAACGTGAGTGGGGGAGGGGCAGAGAGCGAGGGAGACACAGAATCTGAAGCAGACCCCAGTCTCTGAGCTGTCAGCATGGAGCCCGATGCGGGGCTCGAACTCACGGACCGCGAGATCATGACCTGAGCCGAAGTGGGCCGCTTAACCGACGGAGCCACCCAGGTGCCCCGGGAAACTTTTAATTTTAATACAACTTCAAATCTCCAGAAGAGTGGCAGAGAACTCCTACATGCCTTTTACCCACACTCCCACATTTTGCTCTCTCCATATTTTTCACAGATACATGTATTCGTTTTTGCCAAACCAACTTTTCCCGTAATGGCAGCACCACCTTAGACTTGCACCAGCAACGCGTGAGAATGTCAGCCACTGCACGTTCTTGAAGCAGTGGATGTAGTCAGTGTGATTCTGTAGCAACATTGAAGATAAAGCACATATTTTTGTTTCTTTATTTCAGATGAGAAATAACTTTAGACATTATTTCATCAAACCTCCCCAGCTTAAATTATTGTATGATGTTATAACGTGGATAGTGACTCAAATAGCAATAAGTTACACAGTTGTGCCATTTGTACTTCTATCTGTAAAACCGTCATTCATGTTTTACAGGTAAGTGTCACTCTTAAAAATATACCAGTGGGAATAACTTTATTATTATTATTATTATTTTAATGCTTATTTATTATTGAGAGACAGAGACAGAGCATGAGCAGGGGAGGGGCACAGAGAGGAGGAGACGCAGAATCCGAAGCAGGCTCCAGGCTCCGAGCTGTCAGCACAGAGCCCGACGCGGGGCTGGAACTCACAACCGCGAGATCATGACCTGAGCCAAAGTCAGACTCGGCTTAACCGACTGGGCCACCCAGGCGCCCGGGAATAACTTTATTTTTAAGAGCAAGCTCTTTGCTATTGGGTAGTGTAAAAAAAAACATGCCCTAGCCTTACTTTCTGTAGTTAACTTTTTCATCTTAAACCAAGCAGTCCCAAGATTTTTATGGAATGATTCACACCACTTAACCCTCAGACGAATATGACTTAAGAGATGTGCCAGCTGGGCAGCTGCTGCCTCAGGTCTCGCAGAGGTTTAACTAGAAAATGTAGCTGTTCTTTTTACACCTGGATGGTAACTGGACTCACCGTGGGAATCCTTTCACGATGTGTACATGTATCGAATCATCATGTTGCACACCTGAGGCTACTGTAACGTATTAGGTCAGTTGTACCTCACTTAACCAAATAAAAGAAGCAGCATCCGGCTAGATGTGGCCCGTGGGCTGGAGTTTGCTCACCCCTGCCCTGGGGTCAAGGGCTAGGAGTTTATAAGCTGGAGCAAAGGCTTTTGTGTCTCTCGGGATATTCTGGGAGTGGAAGCAAAATAATATCTTCCAGATAATCACGAGTAAGTATTGGTTGAGTCTGTGCACCAAGAGTTCGGGTTGTCAGACTGTTAACTCCAAAAAGGAGAGGATAGGTGAACTTGAAATAAGATGAACAATCAAAAATAGGACAGAGCGGTTTTAAAATGTAGTTTGTTCTTAACAAGGGATTGTTAATCCTTTTCATTGCTTTAGTCAAAAGGAAATAGATTACTTGTATTTCATGAATTTGTTCCCTTCTTACTCTTTTATGTTTCACGGGTACTTTGTCTTCTCTGTATTATGGAAACTCTTGTCTTAAATTCCATGTTTTATCTCTTTATTGTCTCCCTCACCCACCAAATTCCGCTCTCGCTGTGTTAGCGAGATCTTTGAGATCAGACACTTCATCTTTCATAAAGTCCTCATTACCCCAGTGTTTAGAAACGGCAACACAGAACGCGTGGTCAAAAATTGTTGAATGGAATATGGCGACACATACGGACAGACATTAAGGAACTCCACTAAAATGTCCCCTTTTCACAGAATGATTACTTGTTTTTGAATGTGATCGAGCTGTTGGTTAGATTTTCTATCCCAGGTACTTTGTTCATGATCACTTGAACTTACAGCTAAAAAAGTGGCCTCGGTCGCACTTGATTTATACTTAATTTCAGGAATAATACCTCTAATAATATTCTTAATAATGTGACTTTCCTTTATTATATGACAGTGACCATCAAGAGGCAGTATTATCTATTACTCACATCACTGGAATATTTGTAACTTAATCAGGGGCCGTAAACAGCAGAGGAGGCCAGAGCATTTAAGGTCTTTATTATCTCTGCCTTCTCTTTGTTCACTCAGTGTTCGATTCTGTGGATTTGCGAGATTATTCTTAGGTCGCTGCAGCTGCTAATAAGTACCTTTTTGTTTTTGCTCTGTGTAGCCATGGACTTATGACCCTTACAGAGGAATGTGATATGATACCTAGTGTCATGCTCCGAAGCGGTCTGGGCTTATATGCTGCTTTCTAAAAACTCACTAGCATACGCCTTAGAGCTGCATCTCATGGGGCAGGGGTGGGACAGGAATGCAAGAGATGTGGTGCACACATCCTGAGTGGGGCCTGGGACATTTTGACGAGTGTGCAGTTGCTAAGCATCCATGATCAAAATCTAATAAAGTAAATTCTGTTTTTTTTCTTCTAGCTCCTGGTATTACGGCCTGCACATTGCTGGTATCTTAGTATTATTGTTGTTGCCGGTGAAAAAAACTCAAAGAGGAAAGAATACACAGGAAAATGTTCAGCTGGCACGATCCAAAAAGTTTGATGAAAGAGAAAATTCCTTGGGACAGAATAGTTTTTCCACAACAAACAATGTTTGCAATCAGAATCAAGAAATAGCCTCTAGACATTCATCATTAAAACAGTGAAGGGGAAAATATGCTGACGGCTGTTTTTTCTATGTTAACAGAAACCACTCTTAGCACCTTTCAAGGGATTTGTGTTTGTTTGAAAAGAGATTAAGTGGGGGGACATCTGACAGATCTAGGTAGGGAATTTCCTGTATAGCAGATTGGAAACGGAGCGAATAACCCCTCCCAGGCCATGTCCCTGTGGGCCACGCCTTATATAAAAATATTTCCATTATTTCAATGGGCACTCAGGACCTCAGCATATGTCCACACGGTCATATGTGTGCCCTGTTGCTGAATGTATGTTGCGTATCCCAAGGCACCGAAGAGGTGGACAGGTAATTGTGTCAATCTGGATGATTGAGAGAAATTAACTTTTCCAAATGAATGTCTTGCCTTAAACCCTCTATTTCCTGAAATATCGTTCCTAAATGGTATTTTCAAGTGTAATATTGTGAGAACACTGTTTCAATATTTGATGTTATATGCTGTAAAGGAATTCTGGAGGAATTTTGAAACAGGATATTTAAGATGTGGATACTTTAAAAATGCAATAAACATCTCAGTATTGGAAGGGTTTTCTTAAAGTATCTCAGATGACTACAGTATGTAGCGAAACCGCAAACAGGACCGGATGCCAAATTATACGTAGCTTATTTTCCTGGAGAATTTAATTACTTTGTGTCAGTCAGAGCCCGTCAAGGAAGAATTTCTTCAACACAATTAAAGGTGGGTAATGGGATATTTTAAGTTTATTTTCTTAAAAAAAGAAAAAAGCAAGAGAAGATGACAAGGGAAGGAAGGAAGGCATGAATGAAGGAGGCCCCACGAGGACTGGCGTAGAGCCTGCTGGGATGGGGCACAGGTGCACAGTGTAGGTACCACGTGCTCCGCAGACGTGCTTTTCACCTTTACTTATCTGAGTTCTTTGTGATTATGTAAGACATCGAAATGTAATAACTTTTTAATGTGGTGGACTTTGAAATGAAATTTATCAAGCATAAATTATATAGGATTGTTAGAGGGATCCTGAAAACAATAGTGGTGGATTGTGTGAGGGTTATGAAAGAGAAATCACTGAGTAAGGTGACTGTCTAGTCACTTTCTTATGCTTAACAGCTTACTTCCTATTTGGGAAAGTTTTAGGGAGATGAAAGCTTAAAGTCGTGGGGTCTGGCCCACATTTTTAGAAAATAAAATAAATCAGTTTCCAGACTCTTAAATTCTTACATTAAAATGTTGCTCTTCGCTCTTTTTAATGAGTTTTAGGTTCTGTAAGTAGAAGAGTATGCTTTTATCTTACAGGCCATTTTCCCCATAATTGATCTCACCTTGAATTACTAGATGTCCCCTTTAATGCCACAGTCTGGTGACGGGCGTGGTAAGCTGAAAGCAGAGGAGGGGACTGCGAGGCCATCCTGGAGTGTAGGGCTTCGGCCACAGATAGTGAATCACGGGATCATGGGGTTTGAGAGAAGAGCGGGGGACACGGGCCTTCTGACTTCACCTTTATTTGACCAGTCTTTGATTTGACTTCACCTTTATTTGGCCAGTTCATTTCCTTTCTGCCTTACATTTTTAATGCAATGCAAATTGGTTAGGTGTGGTGTGTGTTTTATTTTTGTCGTTAGTAAGTTTGTAAGTGAAGTTAAAGCAGAACCCCTATCTGGCTTGAGCTGCGCAGTATTTCATTTAAAGAGAAACAGCAAGCGTCCTTGGAACTGGTGAGGTCTCAGTCAGCAAAAACATCAGCGTATCTTTTTAGAACTTTAGAAATATCCTGGTCTTTGTTTATAGCAAATGTGGTTATTTTTCTAAAGGTAAAATTTTTCCACCTGCTGAGGTCAGCCATACCCTGCTACTTACTTCCCAGGAAAGGACAGATAGCTAAATAAATTTTCTCTGTTTTCCCATGCATTGAAATTAAGCTAGCTGTGTAACGTGAGACGATGGAAAAGAATAATCATGGAAAATATCTGCCCCCGAAAGGTCTCCTTAGTTTAATTACTGCTGCAGAGAATCTGATCACTATTTTTCAAAAGTAAACAAATTCAGGGTTTAAAGGACAAGTCTAGGCATGTCATAAATGAAAATAAGAGAGCTTAATAAAACTTTTTTTCAGCCCACCTCTAGCCATTAATAAATAATAACTGTTTATTTTTATCACCTATGTCATTTCTCTGCCTGTAAACCTAAAATCATTGTTACCTGTTTCTTGTTCAATGAATGTCCTCATGGTGTTGCCATCCAGGAAGCAAGATGATTGAATAATTTTCCAATTACTTTGAAGATGATACATTATCTATACAGATTGACTGATTTTCATCCCTTTGGATCAACTAGTTTTTTGGTTTTTGTATGAAATGGTTTTAGGATAGCTTTTCTCTAATTTTGTAGAAATTCTCGTAAGTATGTAATCTAGAAGAACTAAAGAAATCTAATTCTCGACCTTTCTTCTCAAGAAGAAACACTTTGTGCTGTGTGAAATGACTGTATCTACTTGGAGTGTTGTAAGGATTAATACTTCTACTTGAAGTGGAAACTGGTATATCTCTACTACTGTTAAGTATAAAGGGATTCATTGTACTATGTGCTTGCTTCTTTTTTAATCAACACAGTAAGATTCAGTCCATATTTATATTATTTCTCCACTCTTCAGTTGTCATGAAACTACTCCAGAGATGATCGGTGAACATCATTATTATACTACTCAGGGAAAAAAAAAAAAAGGGAACAAAAACATTATTCTTCCCTCAATTTCATTTTCTTGAAACAGTAACAGTTAATTTGATGTATCTCAGTGATCACCATTTTACAAGTAGCTTACTCTCAGTTTTAAAAATGAGCATTTTTATTGGAACTCAGGGTAATTGGAGAAATGTATGCAGCTTCTAAAACATCCAGCATAGTAGAGAAGGTTTCTTTGGCTTCAACAATGTCCAGCCACCACTTTCGCCACCACCATACTTTTGGTTAAGAAGTATTTGTGTTATTGACCCCTGCCGTGTGTGACAGGCATATGCAGGATTTCCATAGATAACAGTTTTCAGGAAACTTTGCAGTACAAAGAGTGGTTCTTTTTTAAAGAGTGAAGGTAACGCACATGGAAACACTGATTGTCCTGGGAGATCTGGATGTTCATCTGGCTCTGTTATTAAGGAACCTTAGGATCTGGGCAAGTTGCCTGTCCTCTGGATCAGAGTTTCTTAATAAGAAATTAAAGGATCAGTTCTAAAAGTTTATGACCAGTCGATTTGTAATGAATGGAAGCCATTAGCAAGATGTGTAGGAGTCACGGACAAAGGCAGATTCACAATCAGAACTATTGTCATGGTCATTTACTTTTATTACTTGAGCAGCTCCAAGCCCAGACTTTTCAAAAGGTTTTCTTGGCAACCGAGGAAAATCTTTCAATCCCTTAAATCAGAAGGCGTGGCAGCATAACCTTTCTACTGAATATAGCCCTTCACATGAATCCTTGATCATGAAATAGTCTCTAGTGAAGGAAACAGATCTTCCTTTTGCTTTCTCTGCTTGTTTGTTCATTTGTGCCGTGTGAAATTGAAGGTGATCTGTCCTAGAATGTGTCAGTGCAGCCCACCAAGTTTACTGGACAGGGTTTACCACTTTAAACTACAGAAGACATGTTAAAACTCGGCCGTGAAAATAATGACAAAATTTATACTTTTATTCAAGGACTAGATTGTGTTTAGGACAAAAAAAGTCTTTCCTATTTAAAATTCATGCCCTGTAAATTTTAGTTTGTATATTCACAAACCACTTGGGCACTTACACTTTTTTGTTTCCTTATTATAAACTTCAAAATCATTACTTACTTGATGTTAAGGGTTCTCCGTTAAAACTGAAAGAAAAAATTACTTGAGAGAATAGTTGTTTCAGAATGGTGCCTGCTGTTGCGTCAATGGAGGACTTGTCCGGAGTTTTACATCTAAACCGGTATTTGATGGAGTTTCGTTCACCCACTGGTGGTCTATCCTGGCTGAAATTGAGTACATCAGATTTCACATAGGTGCGGAATTCTATGTAACACTGTGAAATGTAATCTTAACTGCCCTCAAGTACCTTATTAAACTCTTCCTCTGAACCAAGTGTACATTTAAGGAATGGCTGATCATTTATACGAGTACCTTAGATGCAGAAAGTTCCTTCTGCAGCCGTCCTCGTGAGAGTGGGTTCGTATCCGTGCACGCTCCTAATGCTGAAGGAAAAGATTGGCTAAACTGTACCTGAAATTGGGATTGGAAAGATCAGAGAGTAGAGGGTCTCCACAGTGTGTTTCTGCAGCACCGTGTAGTCAAATCTATGTATAGTGACTCTCGTTACCGAAGAGAATTTACAATGAAATTTTCCATGTTGGTGTTTTATAGGAATGCTCTTATAATCAATGACTAGGCTGCTTTTTGAGGCTCTCATTGTATAGAGGATGCAGCCAGTTACATTTTAATCAGTGGGCTGCTTATTAATGTTTTTATATGTTTTAAAATAATATTTATTTTAATAGATTTTTAACATGGAAATCCCAGTAAACAACTGACAAGCTCTATAGTTTATTGATTGGGAAGACTTTCTGAAATGGCGCCTGAAGACACATTTTTATGCCGACTGATTTGTCTCGCCTTTAGAATTAATGATACCTGTCTTCTTTTAGAAAACCTTTTATAAAGCAAAACCAAACCAAAATGACCCCAAGACTCTATGTCCTAGAAATAACAACATAAAGAAAGATCCATGCGGAATCACTGTGTAAAGCTGAAGTCAGTGATGCACGGCCATCTCTCCGCTCACGTTTCGTCAGATTTTGCTGCCGCAGAAAGAAATGGAAATAAAATGAAAAACCAAAAGATACAGAGCAACACCCAACACAATGACTAGCCATTTTCTTAATAACATGTTTCAAGTGGAGAGAGTAGCTACCTTTTCCTGGAGTCGTAAATGACTGTGCCCTGGCCAGTCTCTATTTTGGGGTAACTTCTCCGAGAAATTAACTTGGTAATACC